ACAAATTGCGTTTTAATATAATGATAGAAATATTTCTCTTATTAAATGCACTACTATTACCATTGGGATTGATAACCAAGTGTTCAGAAAAAATCAAATCATATTTTATTGGATACTTTTCTTCGTTTCCAACACGAAGCAAAAAGACACTGAATACTGGATCTGATCTTACTTTATATTTCTTGTCAGTTGAATCATTTTCATTTGAGGCCAGAAGTATAAATTTGACAAGCTAGCTTTTACAGTCTCTGCTTTTTTTGAATTTGGAACTACTGGTAGTACTTGACAGAAATCACCTCCCAAACCATTAATTTTCCACCAAACGATTCATTAATAAGAACTTCGGACAATCATTTCGATCATTTGACACTTTGCCATAAGTGCTTCATCCCGTATTATCAATTTTGCTTTCCTTATAAATTTAGCACCATTACTCTGCTTTGAATATTTGTGATTGTTATTTAAGTTATTTGAAAAGGTATATCAAATCTAAAGTAGGTGGCCTCACAATAAAATCGTTGTTGGCACACCACTTGCTATTATTGCTAACAGTGGCATGCCTCTTGATATGATATTTGCAAGTAATGCATGACATAGAAATATAATTTTGATTCTGACGGAGGCATCTATAAAGAATAATCTCGTTATATCAGAGCCGACTCTTTATAATATAGTCTTGAAAGCTTGTTCTTGATTATGATTTAGTTTTGATTGCGCTTCCTCATTCACTTGTATAGCATTTTGATTCTTAATAATATACTAACTATTTTACTTTGCGTTCTAACGCTCTTTTATGGAATAAATTTATGTATCATAAGTTTTTTTTAACTTGAATAAGAATTTTACTCATATGATAAATTTAAAAAAATAATTGAATTGGATTCTCTTGCTAAATAATTAATTAAAAGATTTAATTATTTATTTTTAGTATAAAAAATAATTTATTCTATGTTGATTCAGATCTTAATATTAGTTTATCTCTTGTTTTGAATATTTAATCTTAATTATAATTTTATCCACTATAAATTTTATTTGTAAAGATGTAACGACCCGACCGATCGTTTTGAGTATTACAACCTTGTTCCCCCATTTACTATTCAATTTATGCTTTACAGTTGTTATGTGACTCGCTGGGGTGATTGGTTCAGGTCCGGTGATGTTTTGGAATGAATTCAAACACTTAGTTCCAAGGCTTAAAGTTTAAGTTAAAATAGTGATCGGATGTCGACTTATGTGCAAACGACCACAGAATAGAGTTTTGATGATTCCAATATCTTTGTATGGTGGTTTTGGACTTAGAAGCGTATCCGAACAATTATTTGGAAGCCCGTAGCTAAATAAGGCTTGAAATGGCGAAAATAGAATTTTAAGTTTGGAAGTTTCATCAGGGAGTTGACCTATTTTATATCGGGGCCAGAATCCGATTCTGAAAATTGGAATAGGTCTCTTATGTTATTTATAATTTATGTGCAGAATTTGAAGTCAATCGGACTTGATTTGATAGGTTTCGGCGTTGAATGTAGAAGTTGAAAGTTCTTAGTTTCATTAAGCTTGAATTGGGGTATGATTTATGGTTTTAGCGTTGTTTGATATGATTTGAGGATTCGACTAAGTTCGTATAATACTTTAGGACTTATTAGTATATTTGGTTGAGATCCTGGAGGCCTCGGGTGAGTTTCGGATGGTTAACGGATCGAAATTTGGACTTAGAACAAAGCTGGAACTTTTTTGTCATCTAATGCAGAAGCGAGCGTGAGAGCGCAGAAGCGAAAAAAGGAAAATGGAGTAGTGGCTGCAGGTGCGAAGGAAAATTTCGCATTTGTGCGACCGCAGATGCGGACGAAGGATCGCAGGTGCACTTGGGACCGCAGAAGCGGACGCTTCATCGCAGAAGCGAGTCCGTAGAAGTGAAGGCTATCGCAGAAGTGGGAGATTTGCCGCAAAAGCGGAACTGCATATGCGGTTAAAAATTTCACAGAAGCGGAACCTATGGGAAATATACAAAAATAGATGTTTCCGAGATTTTTCCATTTGGTCATTTCCAACACGGGTTTGGGGCGATTTTCAAAGAGAATTCACGGGAAACTTGAGGTAAGTCACTCATGATCATTGTTAGTCAATAATATTTGGATTATCATTGAATATTTTGACTAGATTACGTATTTTGATGTGAAATTAGAAGATTTGGGATTAAGGATTACAATATAAGAATTTAAGATTTGAAGGTCGAGTTGATATCGGAATTTGGTAAAAATTGGTATGGTTGGACTCATGGTTGAATGGACGTTCATATTTTGTAACTTTTGACGGGTTCCGTGACGTGGCCCCCACGAGCGATATTTGAGTTAAATTTCAAAATTTTATTGAAAAATCTGTATTTGCATATGGAATTAATTCCTATAATTTGTATTGACTGAATCGAATTAATTATGACTAGATTCGAGCCGATCGGAGTCGAAAAATTGAGGGAAAGGCATTCTTATTGACTGATTGAGCTTGGCTTGAGGTAAGTGGCTTGTCTAACCCTATGTGGGAGAAATCCCCTTAGGATTTGATATTGTTGTAATATTTTGTGATATGTGAGCACGTGTACGCGAGGTAACGAGTACGTACACGGGCTAAATTTGGAAATATCGGTTCTTGCTGAGTAGTCTTCGTTTATTTTCTTTAACTGAGTTGCCTTAGCATATGTAGTGATCATGTTTAGCCTAGTATCAGATGCCTACGTGCCTTAACTCTTACGTGCAATATGTGCAACTTGCTTAGCTGAATTACCTTCTTTCCTTGATTTGATTTAAATCTTTAACTATAAGATTTCTTGCTGAAAATTTGTTGTTCCTCACTGCATATTTACTTTTGGGACTATGAGGCGGTTCCTCAGGAGACCCCCTGTACTGCATATTTACTTTTGGTACTACGAGGCGGTTCCTCGGGAGATCCCCTATACTGTTTATTTACTTTTGAGACTACGAGGCGGTACCTCGGGAGAGCCCATGTTGTTTACCTCTAATTGTTGTGTTGTTATCTTTCTGTATAATTCGTTTATTTCTCAATCACTTCATTACATTATTATAAATTTCTTCCTTATTTATTTTTATTTCTAGTGCGGTCTGACCTGACCCCGTCACTACTCTACCCAGGTGGCACTTACTGGGTACCGTTGTGGTGTACTCATACTACGCTTCTACACATCTTTTTGTGCTGATCCAGGTACTTCCTATCAGACCAGGTATCAGTGAACTAGTTGTACACGGACACTTCAAGGTACATCTGTCAGCGCCTGCAAACCTTGGAGTCCCTCTCTATCCTTATCATGTTGTTTTCCTTATTTTAGTAGACTCTGATGTATAGAGATATTAGTATTTTTCTTAGAAACTTGTGGCTTGTTTCTACCGAGTTGTGGGAGATTGTAGTTCTTTGACTTGCAGTTTTCATTTATTACAACTATTGATGTTTGAGTTTCAGACTCTTATTATGTTATTCCATAATTCTTTAGGCTTACCTAGTCTTACAGACTAGGTGCCATCACGACATCCTACGGAGGGTGAATTGGGGTCGTGTCAAAAGAGTAAAAGATTTATATGACATTTCACTTTTAGATCTTTATGTTTGTAGAATTATTAGTGGTATTGACTCTTACAAACTATTTTTTTTCTCTTTCTCACACATTTATATTCTTAAATATTTTCTTAGGTGTTGTTTAATAATTGGGTAATTTTCAATATTACACGAAAATTTGATATAAAAAAAATATTATTTGAGTAGGAAAATAGTTCAAATATAATATAAAAATATATTATCGTGGGGGTATTTTTTTTCAATTTTAACTCTTTATGCAGTCCATTTAATATTATTTTGTTTGGTATTGGACAATATGGAGTGGTAATGTATTGTCAATACAGAGGATTCTACTGAAATTAATTTTATTAAACCTTCCTACATATTTTTAATAAGAATGTAATAGACAAATTTTATTAATTTTAAAATCTTAAATATTAAAAATTTGCAAAGACGGTATTGTAGTCCAAAAAAATAGGTTATTGCAGTTATGTCATTTCCCTATGAGTTCTTCCGCTTAATATTTTAGGGCTATTTTGGTATATTAATATTGTATTTATACTTTTATAATAAAATAGACTCTCCTTTTTCTAAATGAATTTGGACAATATAATGCATTCTCAAATTAAATTAGTGATAGAACATTATAATACGTTTTCGAATTAAATTAGTAATAGAAATTTTTAAGAAGTATATTCTAAAAGTAATAGGATTACATGACTAAAGATATTTACTTGTTTAATTTTATATGAATTAGACCGCCCTAAAGTAATTATACTAATAGGATTCCTAACGTGTAGTATTATATCCTAAAACTAATAGGATAATAGGCTAATATCTAAAATTCGATTATGTCCTTTTATTATGAGTCATTATGCTTAACATTATAAGGTTATTTTTGTTGTAGATATAGATTTATGTCCACTTAAATATCGCTCCCTCTGTTCCACTTCATAGAATACTGATTTTAGAAGTCAAACGTCTTTTTGCTTTGATTGATACTTATTAATACACTGTTTAAACATTTTTAAAATTTTATAAAATCATAATGATTTCTAGTACTTTTTTATGTCATTTTGCTGAAAGGGATATCAAATTGCTGGAGAAATAAATTCTTGGCACCGCAGAGCCTATAATATATAAACCACATGGCATTTCTCTACAGTATAATCCTTTTTTGGCTATCATAAATCAATCGAGGATTGATGCGGCATAGATAATAAATTTCATTACTCAAAAATCAATCAACTATTCGAAATTACCATTCGAAATTACCTAGTAAAGTCACGTTTAACAAAAAAAAAAATTACTTAACTATTTCTATCACTCAACAAAATTGCTCAAGCTTTCGGTGGCTAAATACCCATTTTACCCTTTAAATTATCAACTTTTATCTTTAGGATACTTTGTATATCAGATAACTCTGAACGAGAATAAGCAGGGGAAAAAAGAGGCAAACCATTACACGTCTACAATAGTTTGCTTAAAGCATTGGAATATCTCCAATTCATAGGGTATTCAGGCACTACATTCTTCCTCTACATAACTCCATCACAATACTTCCCTTTTCTACAAAGAAGCTGCCACACAAGTTGCTAAATGTTAATCCCGTAGCGGTTCAATTCCAACGAGCCTTTCGAACTAGTACTATTAGTAATCGAGTCTATAGTTACTACCTTACGAAATTCAGTTTATACAAAAAGTAAAACCAGCTTAATCCAAGAGGATAGCTTATTCTATTCTGCCTCGTTTTCATTTCTTTTTCGTTTCTCCCCCCTCACTCCTGTACTCAGTGCTCTCAAAGCATCTAAAACATCCTTCATCATTGGCCTTTCTTCTGGTTCCAGATTCATGCAGAGGAATACCAGACGTGTGATATCAAATGCAGTTGGATGATCAACTTCTTTGAAGCATTCATTAACCAAATATTTTTCACTAAGTGAAGCCTCCTTTAAAACTGAATTTTTCACAATCACAGGATTCTCGCGAAAATTAAATTTCTTTTTGCTTATTAGCTCCAGAAGTAGAAGACCAAATATATAAACATCAGACTTCATCGTCCGCTCACCTGTATCGATCCAGAAAATATAAGAACAGAACTGCACTTAGTAATGAAAAGCAGATAAATAATGTAAACAATAGTATACACATAATATAAACATCAAATATGATGAAGATTCTCCACAGGGGGGAAGCTAAGAGTCATAATTCCTAATTCAGACTTCTTTTTACTAGCTCTTTTTCTGTTTCAGCAAAAAACATAAAAACATATGAGGGTCATGGCAGAGTCAGCTGCCGAGCTGAGGAGTTAATGCCAGGGGCGGAGCTAAAAGCCCGAGTATTGGTTCGCCGAACCCAGTATCTTTTGCTCAAAAAATGTATTTGTGTTAAAAAAAATCATTAAATATGTACAAATATGAAATTTAAACCCCAGTTATCAGTACTTAAAGTCGTCGTTCCAAAATCCAAACCCCATAAAATTGAATTCGGTTAATGCACACTAATGAACAATGCATAGAAACAAGGCATCACAAGACGTCTTCAGTATAGGATATCTAGATAACAAACAACAAACAACATCAACTTGTTTGGAATCTTTTCCTGCACACTTTTGGGATAAAAGTGGGTGATGTCAGCAACCACAAAAGAGCTACTAAGTAGCTGGATGTGCTGTAACGGGAACAAAGAGTTGAAGGAAATCTGGAGGACCATTCTAGCATGTGTTTTACGGCCTATTTGGAAGGAGAGGAATCACAGATGTTTCAAAGGAAAGGCATCATCAAATACATGTTTCAAAACAGAGAAGTTTATTTTAGTTTAGAATTCTGGTATAACTTGATTGATGCATACAGTGTGGAAAAGATGATAGAATCTACTAGTAGCTTACAGAAGATCGAGTCATTGTACTCTAAAGAATTTAAGTTACGTACACTGACACCATGAAGGATTTTTTACACGATCAGTGAATTTCAACCTGTGATAGCAGGTTAATTACCATTTTTACCAGATTACTAATTAGTGCTTATCAAGAGATTTTTCTGTAATTACCTAATAATTGATTTGATTGCGTAAATATATTTTACACTGCAGTGCATGGAACATACCATTTCTATCACAGTTTCATAACTAACCGTAGGCTCCAACACATATTCCAGTTAGAGTTTGTTTTGTCCAACAACTAAACCTAATTTGCTTATTACTTGGGTACTAAGGAGAATAGAACAAGAAAAAATGCAAAGAAAAAGAAAAAAGTGGCCGGGTTTAATTGATGAAACCGACCTCAAATAAAAAGCGTTGCATCATGAAAAAACATGGACAACTACAAGAAAATCTTTAATCTAAAGCATGAAAACATCAGAGATGATGAGGTCTGAGTAAACATGCCTGCTACAACCTCTGGAGCTTCCCTGCCAACACGAGCTTTAACAGGAATTTTACAATCTTCGCTCACATGATTTGAAAAGTGACCAAAGTCAAATACTTTTATATTTACTTCCTGCAAGCCAAAACAATTTCCAGGTTCCAACAAGCCAGTAAGGTAATGATGTGTTAACATCTTCAAGTATCTAAGAGAAATAAAAAGTCGAGAAGACGGCCAAGGGTTCAAACTCAACCTCATCTATCATAATGCATGAAGCAGTAACACTGCCAACTGCAACACTCTTTTCATGCAACCATGCCAAGAGATCTGCAAGTTGAGTTGCCACTTTTATCCGGTCATCCCACCCAAAGTCATCTGCGAACGAGGAAAAAAAAACATAAAGGATGTGCTAAAACCACACAAATTTCGCACTGAACAGTCATTCAACATAATAGTCAAGGTAATAAATACCAGCCAGAAGCACATCAGACAAGACTCTGGTGAATTTTTCATCATAGACAGCTGCAAGCCTCGTCTCATAACAGTACCTATACAACTTCGACAAATTTGGATGCGTATTTACTCTTTCATCTGTGAATAACTCGATCTCGTCCTACAAAAGAAACCTTGACATCATTTTACCCAAAATAATAGACAAGAAATCAAATTCAGACCAATCTTGCAAACATACACAAAATTTATGTAGACGTTGAGTATGCTCGTCTCCCAAAGGAAGGAGAAAATCCCATGTCTTTACAATCGCCGGTCGCTTTTCAGATCCTTCACCAATGGTGCCACAAAACAATCTTCCTGAAAGAGTCTTCTGAATCAAGCTCTCAGGCTTGAAATCAGTAATGTTTTGCAACTCGGAGTAGGTGCAAAGCTTCACCTCACCAACTATCATTGGCTCAATTGAGAACTTGAAGCTGCATATTGGCAAACATACAAGAACATTCGGAGAAGAAATAATAACATTGTGGATGTCAATCAAGTTCAAAAACCATTTTGAAAAACTGATTCAAATGCAAAGATGTTGTTATAAGTTCATACATCAACAATAGTGACTAGTTCTTTTTCCTTTTTTGATAACCAAGATATTCCCGAGAGCCGGTGGCGCACGGTTCAAAACTCAACGAATAATGGGTGTGCCCCTCTACCTTTCTACACTTATATACCAGTACGCTTCGCAACCTTGACGCTCGCCAAACCTGCACATCACCTGCTGCGCTATTACCACCAGAACCAAAGTCCTGGTGCTATCAGTGACTAGTTTTTTATACTAAACTATTTAATACTTATATTCATTGATAAAGGTTTTCCTTAGCAATTTAATATATCATTTTGCAAATGATAATTGCTTGCGAGTCAAAGCAAGAGGGCAATACAAAATTGGCAGATTCACTGCAGCTAATTTCGGGTGTTAATTAAGCTCACCTCAAACAAAACTATAACAACTATTTATTATATTGGCAGAACCTAACTCTCTCTGATGAAAAAAATAAAATAAAATAAACCCTAGACAAAAATTGACATAAGCACAACACAACCCTATACTATTCCTTTAGAAAGAGAGATAATGAAAAAACCTTTGGTAATAGTTGCATCTTTCATAGAAAAAGGCTAGCATTCCGTTAGCGATGCTGTCGATGAACATAGGGTGGCGCCAATTGGGAGATTCCTCCTTGTTAAAAATTTGAAAGTAATAAGGTGAAAAGTCCCATTCCTCCAACTTCTTTCGGATCATCTCAAACCCCCCACGCTTCTCCTCCTCGTCTCTAATCTGAACGTCTGTCATTTTTTTTCTAGGGCACACAACACAAAAGGGGAGAATGAGGGTTTTGGTGCTGAGCGCTTGAAATAGAAGGGAATTTTCTACCCGGCCCGAATCCGGATAATTGAGTACGGAAAACCGAAGGATTGTATACAAGGAAAAAAAGAAAGAAGAATTTTTCCTCTTTTCTCCCGTTCATTCCGTTCCAATTCATGTGAATATGTTTGATTTGACACGTAATTTATTAAAAAAAAAATTAAAATTTACAGTTCTAAACAATTAGAAAATGGGTCCAAAGTATTTATATGGTTATAAAAACTTTTTATTAATGGTAAAATTATAAGTTTAAGCAAAATTATTTCCAAATTTAGAAAGGGGGTCATTCTTTTTGGAACAGACCAAAAAAGAAATAGGTTCACATAAATTGGAACGGAGTTAGTATTACTTTTCTTTTGGATAATATAGCACTTTTGGTGCATTAATTATTAGTGTTATTTGTACATTATACCCCTTTACAATTTTAAAATTAAGAAAATAATCTTTTTAGATTTCTTATGTGTGAAAACACATCTCTTAGTAAAAGTAAATCTCATACGTATAAAAAAGAGAGGCAAGGTTATAAAATAAAAAATAAATTTGTAAAGAACCACAAAACTACCCATTTGTGCTATAATAATAGTAAATTCTGATTTTGGTTTTTATGATATATGACTAAATATATTTAATTAATTAAATTGTGTATTTGTTATCCTTTTATGTAAGAAATATTTAGCTTTTTTTAGAACTATATTATCCTAAAATAGAGAGTAACATTAAAAACTTAACATAACACATGCATAATTAAATCGAGTTATAATTAATTAATCGATAAACTAGCTTTCCTTAAAGGTCAAATGAATTGGATTGAGATTTATGAAAGAGTAGATAATTTATTCTCTTATGTCCAATAACTTATGCTAGTGGGAGGGAGCAGTACCCGTTTAATTAGTCGAATACGCACAGTGTGGAAACAAAATAATTTTGTAAATTCTTGAAAATTCAAGTCGAGGGATGAGAAGTAAAAATTCCATTGAATGTTGAATTTGCTTAGTTCAATATCATCGGGCGGAGCTAGAGTGCCCCGATCGGATCACACTAAATCCGGTAACTTTGGTTCGAACCATGTATATGCAGTGGTGGAACCAAAATTTACGTTAAGAGTTGTCAAAATATATAAAAGTAAACATATAATAAAATTAAGTGGAGTCAATACATAATATATATATATATATACATATAATTTTTTTACCTACCTACACAATTTATTTTTCTCGCGCAAGGGGTGTGATTTGACATAACTTTTTATAAGGTGGCTCCGCCACTGCTTATATGTCTTAAACAATTATTTAAATATGTATTAATTATTAACGTAGGTCGGGATTGTGAATTACAAATGTCACAATTGTATGCCGTTAATATGAATTCAAATTCTCAAGGCTCAGCTATACCAAGCACCAAAACCTCTCTTTTTTCCCCCATTTGGTTCGTTCTCCTTTGTGTGTGTGTGCCCTAGAAAAAACTAATGACTGACGTTCAGATGAGAGACGAGGAGGAGAAGAGCGGAGGGTTTGAGATGATCCGAAAGAAGTTGGAGGAATGGGACATTTTGCCTTACCAGTACCAAATTTTCAACAAGGAAGAGTCTCCCAACTGGCGCCACCCTTTGTTCACCGATCGTACCGCTAACGGAATGCTAGCCTTTTTCTACGAGCAATGCAACTACTATCAAAGGTATTTTCATTATCTCTCTTGCTATTCCTCCTTCATTACACACACGCACATCCCCTATTTTTGTTAGCAAAGTGAGATATTATTAAATTGCTAAGCTATCGTTGTTGGCAAAATGGTAACTAGTAAAGTTGTCTCCATGTGACCAGGAGTGCACGAGTTCGAGCCATGTAAACAGCCTCTTGAGGTTGCGTACAATGTGGTCCAACTTTTCCGCGGAACCCGCGCATAACAGGAACTTAGTGCATCGGACTGCCCCGTTGTCCATGACTCATAGATCATGAGGTGTCTAAGTTCAAATCCCAGCGGAGGCAAAACACTAGTTGATTTCTCCCCATTTGTCCAAGTTTTGGTGGTCAAAGTTAGTTGGTACCCCGTAGAATTAGTCCCTAGCCCGAATACCACGGTTATAAAGAAAAGAAATGGTTATCAATGAATATGTTAATGATTAGGAATATAAAGATTAAAATAGTGTTAGTAGTATAAGAAAACTAGTCACTAATAGCCCCTAGGGCTTTGGTACTAGTGGTTAGAGCGACACCACGTGATGTTTTTGGTTAGGCCCATGTCATGGGGTTCGAACCCCGCCGTGGACAAAAGCATGGTACTTAAGTGGAGAATCCACCGAGTTTCGAACTGTGGGCCTCTGGCGTTGGGGGATTTCTAGGTTATCAAAATAAAATAAAAAAACTAATCACTAACATTGAATTAGGAAATTATAACAACATTTTTGCATCTGAATCAGATTTATTAAATGGTCTTTGAACTTGATTGACATGACTTTTATTTCATTAAGTTATACTTTTATTAATTCCTCTGCCAATATTATTATCGTTTGTATTTAGAGTTATTTTTCTTGCATCATATATTTTCTCACTATAGCATTAAAGTGCATTTGCTTCAAGCCCCTAAGACCTTGATACCTTTTTTATTAAAATTAAATTCTACCTGCTCTGAATTTGTCGATGTCCCATTTCACTTGACCAGTTAAGAAGCTAGACATCCACAATCTTATTCTTTCTGCTCTGAGTGATCTTCTCTGGTTGCCGAAATGCAGCTTCAAGTTCTCACTTGAGCCCATGATAGTTGATGAGGTGAAGCTTTGCAGCTACTCTGAGTTGCAAGACATTACTGATTTCAAGGCTGAGAGCTTGATTCAGAAGACTCTTTCAGGAAGATTGTTTCGTGGCACCATTGGTGAAGGATCTGAAAAACGACCGGCGATTGTAAAGACATGGGATTTTCTCCTTCCTTGGGGGGATGAGCATGCCCAACGCCTACATAAATTTTGTGTATGTTTGCCAGATACGTCTGAATTTGATTTCCTGTCTATTATTTTGAGTTAAATGATGTCAAGAGTTCTTTTTGTAGGACGAGATCGAGTTATTCACAGATGAAAGAGCAAATACGCATCCAAATTTGTTGAAGTTGTATAGGTACTGTTATGAGATGAGGCTTGCAGCTGTCTATGATGAAAAATTCACGAGAGTCTTGTCTGATGTGCTTCTGGCTGGTATTTATTACCTCGACTATTATGTTGAATGACTGTTCAGTCCGAATTTTCTGTGTTTTTTTATGATTTCTTTTTCTCGTTCGCAGATGACTTTGGATGGGATGACCGGATAAAAGTGGCAACTCAACTTGCCGATCTCTTGGCATGGTTGCATGAAAAGATAGTTGCTGTTGGCAGTGTTATTGCTTCATGCATTATGATAGATGAGGTTGAGTTTGAACCCTTGGTCGTCTTCTCGCACTTTTTATTTCTCTTAGATATTTGAAGATTCTAACACGTCATTACCTTACTGGCTTGCTGGAACCTGGACATTGTTTTGGCTTGCAGGAAGTAAATATAAAAGTATTCGACTTTGGTCACTTTTCAAATCATGTGAGCGACGATTGTAAAATTCCTGTTAAATATCTTGTCGGCAGGGAAGCTCCAGAGGTTTGGGCAGGCATGTTCTCTCATACTTCATCATCTCTGATGTGTTCATGCCCTAGATTAAAGATTTTCTTTTGGTTGTCTATGTATTGCATGATGCAACACTTTTTATTTGAGGTTTAGGTTTCATCAATCAAAACCCTCCACTTTTTCCCTTTCTTTGCATTTTTTTCCCTTTTTCTATTATCCTCATTACCCTTGTAATGAACAAGCTAGGTTTAGTTGTTAGACAAGACATTCTAGTTATGTGTCAGAGCCTATGGTTAGCTATGAAACTTTGATAGAAATGATAAGTTCTATGCATTGCAGTGTAAAAGATAGTTACACAGTCAGATCACTTATTAGGTAATTACAGGTAAATCTCTTGATAAGTACTACTTAGTAATCTGGTAAAAACGGTAACTAACATGTTACCACATGTTAAAATTCATCGGTCGTCTTTATGCTGTTAGTATATAGAATTTAAATTCTTTCATAGTTTCTATCACCTTTTCCCCATTGTATGCATCAATCAAATTATACTAGAATTCTAAATTAGATAAACTTCTATGTTTTGAAACATGTATTGATGATGTCTTCCCTTCGAAACTTCTGTGATTGCTCTCCTTCCATAAAGTCCATAAAACACATGCTAGAATGGTCCTCCAGATTTTCTTCAACTCTTTGTTCCCTTTGCAGCACAACCAGCTACTTAGTAGCTCTTTTGTGGTTGATGAGGTCGCCACTTTATCACAAAAATGTACAGGAAAATATTCCAAATCTTTCCAGTAACTGCAATGCAAAAATTGTACAAGAAAAAATTCCAAATCTCTCGTACAAGTTGGTATTGTTTGTAGTTTCTTATCTAGGTATCCTGGATCATATTAATTTCTGATAATCTTTGTTGCTCGGACTGGGGTGCGGGTATTCGATACGGGTGTTGATCTAGAGAACGGATTCTTCATCACATAACTTTAGGATTCGAGGGTATGGATCAGACTATGGATACGGGTGCCAGGATACGGACAATAAATGTATATTACGACGCATATAAGTATATATTCGAGTACCTAAAGTTATTGATACAATAACGACAAACCCAGTGGAATTCTACAAAGTTATTGATAAAACTAATAAAATTTAATTCTTTAAAAACACCTAATATTAATTCATAAGATATCTCATGTAATAGCAAAAAGCTCTTTTACTTTATATAACTATATATATGACATAAAACTGCAAAATCAAATCGACTATCCAATCATCAATACTTCTCGGTCATAGCACCCACGGTGAGTTGAGTGAGTTGACCAAATCCTGGGATATTCCACACCCTGCAGCAAGGATTTGAAGAGTCCAAGCAACATAGATAACTATTTCTACTGAAGAGGTCTTGTGCCTTGTTCCTATATATTGTTCATTAGCGTGCATAAACTCCTCAGTTCAGCAGCTGACTCTGCCAATAACTCTCATATTTTTATGTTTTTGGTTGAAACAGAAAAGAGCTAGTGAAAAGAAGTCTGAATTTAGAATTATGACTTTTGAGCGTTCTCCCGTGGAGAATTTTCATTATATTTGATGTTTCTATTATATGCATAATATTTTTTACATAATTTATCTGCTTTTCTCTACTAAGTGAAGTTCTGTTCTTATATTTTCTGGATCGATACAGGTAAGCGGACGATGAAATCTGATGTTTATATATTTGGTCTTCTACTTCTGGAGCTGATAAGCAAAAAGAAGTTCAATTTTCGCAAGAATCCTGTGAGTGTGAGAAATTCAGTTGTAAAGGAGGCTAAACTTTGTGAAAAATATTTGGTTCATGAATGTTTCAAAGAAGTTGATCATCCAACTGCACTTGATATTGTTGAGGTTTTATTTTAAGATGTAATATTCTTAAAATGAGGGTGAATGGGAAATGGAGGGAAAATGAAATTTTGAGTAAAATTTTAAGTTTCCCCCTCTTAACAATGAGACATTGTCCCATATTGGAAGTGGAAGACATTTTTGGTGGGTATATATATAATTGCTCTTCTTGTAGCTCTTAAAGAGTTAAGAAGAAAGCAAGCCTCGCGCCGTCGTCGTCGCTCGCTCGCTCGGCTCGGCTTCGGCTACGGCTACGGCTTCGGCTTCGGCTTCGGATTTGGATTTGGATTTGGATTTGGATTCGGATTCGGATTTGGATTTGGATTTGGATTTGGTCAAATGATCGATTGATTGATTAATTTTTTGGACCAAATTTATTTGTTAATAGTAAATATTAACGTAAGATTATCCGTATTTGTAAACGGATATTTCCAGTGCTTGCTCCACAAACATGTAATGACGTTTGGTCTTGCACTCCTTCTTGGCTGCTATATATATGAGCAGCAAATGTTGAAGAAAGATACCAAAAACTCAACATACAATTCGCTCAA